AATGGTATGTGAAAAGACAATTGCCAATAGAGTAGATTTCATATCATTCACTAGAGCAGAGCTTTCCTAACTGCGTGCACACACTAGTTTATCTGCCTGTAGTCCACAGGTGTGACACAGTTAAAACCCTCCCGACAGATCGCCATCCAGCCTCCGTTCCAAAACATCCAGTGAAAGAGATTCCACTGGGCTCCCAGACAGTCTATACTTCACTAGAGTTCAAGGGGATTCCTAAAGGGCATCTAGTCCAACCCCGATCAACCAGGTCAGAATGCACAGTCAAAGCCTTACCAACAGATGGCTATCCTGCTATCCAGAGAGGTATAATCCCTTGGTGCTGTTCAAGTGCAGCAATTACCACTAAAATTAAGAAAAGAAAATCTGTTGACAATGATGTTTGTGATTAACCACATGGTGCAGCTATAGAGGAAAACTACACAAGAATTAACTGTAGTACGTAAGAAATGCACTTACTTAATTATATCCCTTACTTGATTATATCCGTTTAGCAATAATGCTGCAGCTGGGTACAAAGAGACTCTGAGCTGACCAGGTTGGCTGGGGAATTTGGGAGTTATAATCCAAAAATATATATAACTATTCCTAGTTTTGACTTCAGTGTATATGTTTTTTTCTCTTGGTTTGTATTCATTTACAATCTGTTGGTTTATTGATTAATTGAATAAGGTGTTCCAACTTGGATATTAAATAACTTGTTGATTTATCAGTGGGCATCTTGATTTACTTGTCTTTGTGTGCTGATTATTTGCAGTGGGGCAGTTAACTAATGGGTTTTAAATAAACATTTCCATCCGTATTAATTGGATTTACTGCATTGTATTAGTTATGCTGAATTGTACTGCTGCATTGGTTGCTTGCTGAATAATTGATTTAGTACTGTCACAATGAGTTAAGGGTAGTTCATATTATTATTAGGTGTTATTGCCTGGATTATATATATATATAGAGAGAGAGAGAGAGAGCTTACAGTTAAGTCAAGAAAAAATTAGACCATGATGGAGAAGGTCATCATCTATATTATTATTATTATTATTATTATTATTATTATTATTATTATGGCTTCTTCTTGGGCTGCAATAATCAAGCCCACCGTCACCTTTTTCAAAGTTCCATTTGTGAGCCACAGACTTGTTTTTTCCTTGTCAATTTGGCTCTCAAATTTTCCCAGGAACTGTCCTTTGAGAGCCTTCTTCTGCCAGTTTAATAATAACAACAACTATTATTATTATTATTATTATTATTATTATTATTATTATTATTATATAGCCACTTTGAGTCCCCTCCGGGGTTGAGAAAGACGGCGTAGAAATGTCATAAATAAGTACACACATTATTATTATTATTACTATTATTATTATTTGAAACACAATATTGTTACAAACAATATCACTATGCCGGTTTTTGTATTTGATCAGACGTCGGACACTTCCCAGGTATCTAGGACTGTGTGATGTATGGGTGAATAATATGTGCAGATTCAAGCTGACAGGTGGTCATTTTGTTGGCGCCAATTGTTTTCAAGTGCAGGCCAAGGTCTTTAGGCACTGCACCCAGTGTGCCGATCACCACTGGGACCACCTTGACTGGCTTGTGCCAGAGTCTTTGCAGTTCGATCTTTAAATCCCCATATCGTGTCAGCATTTCCAGTATTTCTCTTCAATCCTGCTGTCATCTGGGATTGCAACATTGACAATCCATACTTTGTTTTTTCCCCCACAATCATAAGGTCAAGAGTATTGTGCTCCAAAACTCTGTCAGTCTGAATTTGGAAGTTCCAGAGTGTTCATTTTCTGTAACTTTTTCAGGCTTGTGATCCCACCAGTTTTTTGTCACAGGCAGATGGTGAGGCACAAGTTCCAATGAATCATCTGAACAACAGAATTATGCCTCTGCTTGTAGTCCGTCTATGTGATCTTCTTGCAGCAGCTGAGGATGTGGTCCATTGTTTTGTCTGCTTCCTTGCAGAGTCTACGCTTGAGATCTGCCATCGACTTTTCAATTCTGTCTTGGATGCCATTGGTTCAAATGGCTTGTTCTTGGGCTGCCAGAATCAGGCCCTCCGTCTCCTTTTTCAAAGTTCCATTTCTGAGGCACATCCATGTTTTTTCTTTGTCAATTTGGCTCTCAGTTTTGACCAGGAACTGTCCATGGAGAGCCTTCTTTTGCCAGTTTTCTTTTCTGCTCTGGATTGTGTTTTTACGATATACACTCTATGTCTTTTGCACTTGAAGCAGTTTACTATTATTGACTTCCCTCAATTTTGGTTCCTGATTGCCTTTCACATAATCTGCCAGTGCGTGTTTCTCTTCTTCTACATTATTACTACTACTATTATTACTATTTAGCTTCCTTAAGTCCCCTCCGGGTTTGAGAAAGACAGGGTAGAAATGTCGTAAATGCATATTATTATTATTATTATTATTATTATTATTATTATTTGAAACACAACAAGATGAGTCCACAGCAGACACTCTGTTGGCTGCTGTATTGGATCACACGTGGGACACTTCATAAGTGTCTAGGACTGTGTGATGTATCGGTGAATAATGCGTGCAGATCCAGTAAGGTGGCCTTTTGCAGCTGGCAGATGGTAATCTTGTCAGTGCCGATTGTGTTTAAGCGCAGGCCAAGGTCTTTAGGCACTGCACCCAGTGTGCCAATCACCACTGGGACCACCTTTACTGGCTTGTGCCAGAGTCTTCGCAGTTCGATCTTTAAATCCTCATATCGTGTCAGTTTTTCCAGTTGTTTCTCTTCAATCCTGCTGTCACCTGGGATTGCAACAACGAAAATCCATACTTTTTTAACACGATTGTTATTATTATTATTATTATTATTATTATTAGTCTCCTTGTGGGGAGAAGGGCAGAATAGAAATGTATGTAATAAATAAATAATAAATAATTAGCTTCCTTAAGTCCCCTCCAGGTTTGAGAAAGACGGGGTAGAAATGTCGTAAATACATTATTATTATTATTATTATTATTATTATTATTATTATTATTATTAGAATCGTAGAATCAAAGAGTTGGAAGAGACCTCATGGGCCATCCAGTCCAACCCCCTGCCAAGAAGCAGGAATATTGCATTCAAATCACCCCTGACAGATGGCCATCCAGCCTCTGTTTAAAAGCTTCCAAAGAAGGAGCCTCCACCACACTCCAGGACAGAGAGTTCCACTGCTGAACGGCTCTCACAGTCAGGAAGTTCTTCCTCATGTTCAGATGGAATCTCCTTTCTTGCAGTTTGAAGCAATTGTTTCGCGTCCTAGTCTCCAAGGAAGCAGAAAACAAGCTTGCTCCCTCCTCCCTGTGGCTTCCTTTCACATATTTATACATGGCTATCATTATTATTTTATTATTATTAAACTTTATTTGTACCCCACTAGCATCTCCCGAAGTACTCGATGCGGCTTACAAAGGCCAAGGCCTCAACACAACAACAGCAAACAATAAGAATACAATACAAAGCAAAAATTAAAACATAAGCAATGACAAAAACATTACACTATTACACATTAAAAACAGGCCGGGCCAATGATGGGTACAGGTTAAAAATGCTGGATGTGACGGTGGTATGTTGGAATTCTGGGCAAGTGCAATGTGCAGAGAGTCTTAACTCCAATAAAGTGCTTCTGGGACATGGTGCTGGGGGGTTATCCTATTCTGGGAAGGCACATCTGAATAGCCAGGTCTTCAAGTTCTTCCTAAAGACTGCGAACGTGGGTGCTAGTCTAATGTCTTTGGGGAGGGTATTCCAAAGTCGGGGGGCAACCACAGAGAAGGCCCTGTCCCTCGTCCCCACCAAACGCGCCTGTGACGCAGGTGGGATCGCGAGCAGGGCCTCTCCGGATGAACGAAGGGAGCGTGTGGGTTTATAAACGGAGATGCAGTCATGCAGGTAGGCAAGTCCCAAACCGTTCAGAGCTTTGTAGGTAAGCACCTGCACCTTGAATTGGGTTCGGTAGGTAAACGGCAGCCAATGGAGCTCCTTAAACAGGAGGGTTGACCTCTCTCTTTAAGGAGCGCCAGTTAACATCCTGGCCTCCGCCTGTTGAACCAGTTGGAATTTCCGAGCCGTTTTCAAGGGCAGCCCCACGTAGAGTGCATTACAGTAATCCAATCTAGAGGTGACCAAGGCATGGACCACCCCGGCCAAATCAACCTTTGCGAGGTACGGTCGCAGCTGGCGCACAAGTCTTAATTGTGCAAAAGCCCTCCCGGACACCGCCGACGCCTGAGCCTCAAGCGTAAGTGATGAATCCAGGAGGACTCCCAAACTGCGGACCTGTGACTTCAGGGGGAGTGTAACCCCATCCAGCACAGGTTGCCACCCTATACCCCGATCCAGTTTACGATTCACGGTTTACGATTTATCATATCTCCTCTCAGCCTTCTCTTCTTCAGGCTAAACATGCCCAGCTCCTCAAGCCGCTCCTCATAGGGCTTGTTCTCCAAACCCTTGATCATTTTAGTTGCCCTCCTCTGGACACATTCCAGCTTGTCAATATCTCTCTTGAATTGTGGTGCCCAGAATTGGACACAATATTCCAGGTGTGGTCTAACCAAGGCAGAATAGAGGGGCAGCATTACTTCCATTTTATTTTATTTTATTTTATTTTATTTTATTTTATTTTATTTTATTTTATTTTATTTTATTTTATTTTATTTTATTTTATTTTATTTTATTTTATTTTATTTTATTTTATTTTATTTTATTTTATTTTATTTTATTTTATTTTATTTTATTTTATTTTATTTTATTTTATTTTATTTTATTTTATTTTATTTTATTTTATTTTATTTTATTTTATTTTATTTTATTTTATTTTATTTTGCTGGCAATACACATGATGATTTATGTGATGGGTTGATATTTAGGGGTATAGCGCCACCTCGCGTTTTGTTGTGAGCATAGCTAGATATCAAGGGAGGCGTGGTTTAGTCGTAGGCTTGTGATTGATGCGACTGTTGACGTGACGTCAGCGGAAACGGGGCGAGCAGGAAGTAGAAGGCCAAAGCAAGATGGCGGCGGAAAGCAGTGTCCCGGAGCCTGAGCTGGTGAGACGGGCTGGAATTAAGAAATAAAAGGAAGTGCTTAGGGGGACCTTCCAAACAGTCCTATATCCCAGAATATTGAGGCAGGAAATCCCACATTATCTGAGTTTGGACTCAGATAACCCTGTTCAAAGCAGGTATTGTGGGATTTCCTGCCTTGATATTCAGGGTTATATGGCTTTGTGGAAGGGCCCTGGGTTATCTGAGGGCCCTTCTACACAGCTGAATAACATCCTGCATTATCTGCTTTGAGCTGGAATATATGGCAGTGTGGACTCAGCTAACCCAGTTCAAAGCAGGTATTGTGGGATTTCCTGCCTTGATATTCAGGGTTATATGGCTTTGTGGAAGGGCCCTGGGTTATCTGAGGGCCCTTCTACACAGCTGAATAACATCCTGCATTATCTGCTTTGAGCTGGAATATATGGCAGTGTGGACTCAGCTAACCCAGTTCAAAGCAGGTATTGTGGGATTTCCTGCCTTGATATTCAGGGTTATATGGCTTTGTGGAAGGGCCCTGGGTTATCTGAGGGCCCTTCTACACAGCTGAATAACATCCTGCATTATCTGCTTTGAGCTGGAATATATGGCAGTGTGGACTCAGCTAACCCAGTTCAAAGCAGGTATTGTGGGATTTCCTGCCTTGATATTCAGGGTTATATGGCTTTGTGGAAGGGCCCTGGGTTATCTGAGGGCCCTTCTACACAGCTGAATAACATCCTGCATTATCTGCTTTGAGCTGGAATATATGGCAGTGTGGACTCAGCTAACCCAGTTCAAAGCAGATATTGTGGGATTTTTTGCCTTCGTATTCTGGAATATAGGGCTGTGTGGAAGGGTCCAGGGTTGGTCTGAGGTAGTGAATGTATTGTTATTACTTATTTATTTATTTATCGTGTCAGGAGCAGACCAAACAGTTGTACTGCATTTTTTTAACAAACAAAACACAAAGTTTGCAAGCTTGGTAGTTGATTAGGAGGGCGACTAAAATGATCAAGGGTCTGGAGAACAAGCCCTATGAGGAGCAGCTTAGGGAGCTGGGCATGTTTAGCCTGAAGAAGAGAAGGCTGAGAGGAGATATGATAGCCATGTATAAATATGTGAGAGGAAGCCACAGGGAGGAGGGAGCAAGCTTGTTTTCTTCTTCCTTGGAGACTAGGACGCGGAACAATGGCTTCAAACTACAAGAGAGGAGATTCCATCTGAACATGAGGAAGAACTTCCTGACTGTGAGAACCGTTCAGCAGTGGAACTCTCTGCCCCGGAGTGTGGTGGAGGCTCCTTCTTTGGAAGCTTTTAAGCAGAGGCTGGATGGCCATCTGTCAGGGGTGATTTGAATGCAATATTCCTGCTTTTTGGCAGGGGGTTGGACTGGATGGCCCATGAGGTCTCTTCCAACTCTTTGATTCTATGATTCTATGATTAAATGTCATTTGACCAGTAGCTGGCCACTTGGAGTGCCTCTGGTGTTACGATAAGAAGGTCCTCCATTGTGCATGTAGCAGGGCTCAGGTTGCATCACAGCAGGTAATAATAATAATAATAACACTTTATTTATACCCCGCTACCATCTCTCCAAGGGACTCGGTGCGACTTACATGAGGCCAAGCTCGAATACAACAGTACAAGCAATAATAACAACAACAACTGTTCTTTCGCTGCTGGAGCCGAAATGAGGTGCTTTTAAGAGAGGATGTTAGGCTTGCATCCAGCGGGAAGCCAGGGCCCCCAAAAAGAAGCCTTTAGGAAAATTCCCCTTATTAAGCAGTCTTTATGAGGCTCGAGCTTAAATATAACAGTTCTTTATTAATGAACAAACAGGAATTGTAAGCGTTCTTAACAGTCTATGAGCTCTTGCAATCTTGTTTACAGGAAACAGGCACTATCTTCAAAACTTTGCTCAAAGGAAAATTCCCCTTTTTAGCTCCTCCCAGGCTGCTGTGAACCTAAATCTGCGTCTCAGAACCTAGCAGACGTGCCAACAGGCCTGTCACTTAGCTGGAGATGAGCGGAGCTGTAATTCCCTCCAGAAGTCCACAGGGCTGTAAAGCTGTTTCCCTGGAACCCTTTGGGAATCTGTAGAGGCTCTTAAAACTGTTCTCCCCCGGGAAGTCTTAAGAGACGAAGCCTTTGCACATGAGGACGTTTGTGTACATCCTCTGCATTGACTTCCTTTTTGAGACTGACTGAAAAATGGCCCCTTCCCTACAAAAAAACCCAGAGAGGGGCGGGACCAGGGAACCTAACTGTTATTGACGGGTGGCTTGCCCTATGAATGCAAATTATAACAGGAATCCCAAGCCTGGGATTGCAAACCAACATTTAATTCAAAGAAATAAAATTGGAGCTCCTGGAACAGCTGTTCCAGAACAACAACAGTACAAGCAATTAAAATAAAAACATAGACAATAAAATATACAACATTAGCAATAAGACAACACACAATTAAAAACAGTGGGAAGGCCAAATGTAAAGTTAAAATTGGGAATAATGCTGGGACATGGACAAAAAGGTGATAGGTGGTCTGTAGTTTGCTCTTCTCCACACTCGCATGTTGTGGATCCCACTTTGTGTCCCCATTTCTTAAGGTTGGCTTTGCATCTCGTAGTGCCAGAGCGCAGTCTATTCAGCGCCTTCCAAGTTGCCCAGTTTTCTGTGTGCCCAGGAAGGAGTCTCTCATTTGGTATGAGCCATTGATTGAGGTTCTGGGTTTGAGCCTGCCACTTTTGGACTTTCGCTTGCTGAGGTGTTCCAGTGAGTGTCTCTGTAGATCTTAGAAAACTATTTCTTGATTTAAGTCGTTGACGTGCTGGCTGATACCCAAACAGGGGATGGGCTGGAGATGTCACTGCCTTGGTCTTTTCACTATTGGCTGCTACTTCCCGACAGATGTCAGGTGGTACGATACCGGCTAAACAGTGAAATTTCTCCAGTGGTGTAGGGCGCAGACACCCTGTGATAATGCGGCATGTCTCATTAAGAGCCACATCTACTGTTTTAGTGTGGTGAGATGTGTTCCACACTGGCCATGCGTACTCAGCAGCAGAGTAGCATAGTGCAAGGGCAGATGTCTTCACTGAGTCTGGTTGTGATCCCCAGGTTGTGCCAGTCAGCTTTCGTATGATATTGTTTCTACTGTTATTACTGTTATTATGTAAGAAGCAGGCCTGTAGCGAGGGGGTGGTTTTAGGGGTTCAACCCCCCCCCCCCCCGAAATGTTTCAGATTTTTTTAAAAAACCTGGTTTACTCATGAATTTTAACTGGTTAACCAAATTCCCATGCTTAGTCTATGAGATGCAAATAATTAAGAGTCCCTCCAGAACTGCAAGCACTATTTTAAGCAAATATTGACAATTTATTCACACTGTCATTACTTGCAGCAATAGCCGATGTAGTGAAGCAACCAAGTTGGGTGTGTGTGTGTTGAATGCTCTCATTAAGGAGGCCAGACTTGGTGGAGGTGGTTGACAGGGGCGGAGCTGCAGGCTATTGAAGGCTGCTCTGCCCCCTGCTGTGCTCTTTGCTTCAGCGTGAGCTAGGAGGCAGGTTTCAGACCCCCCACACACACACACAAAATTTTCAAAACCCCCCCGCAAAATTTTCAACCCCTCCCGAATTTTTTTTCTGGCTACGGCTCTGGTAAGAAGGGTCCCACGAGGGAGTTTTGTAGTCCTAGCATGTGATTAGTGTTGCAGTCCCAACACAACTGGATAGAGAGGGAACACTGGCTGGGATGAGGCTGGCTTCAGCAAGGTCTCACAACAGGCCCTTTCTACACTGCCTTATAATCGAATTGAGAATACAGCTATAATGTATAAAAGAACCACAAACAAAGTGAAAGACTTTACATTGTATTCAATATCCTTTGGCCAGAAACTGGGCCCTTCAAGTGCCTCTGGTGTGGCTGTAAGAAGGTCCTCTATGGCAGGGCTTAGTTTGCATTGTATTAAGTGGTTTGTGGTTTGCTCTTCTCTGCACTCACATGTTGTGGACTCCACTTTGTGGCCCCATTTCTTAAGATTTATTTACTTGCTATATTTTTACCCCGCTCTGTCTCCACATCAAAGGGGACTCAGGGCAGCATCCAGTTTGGCAATAATTCAATGCCACATAGCAACATAAAAGCAAATTGCAACATTCACATTTGCCTCCAACAGACAAGAGTTCTTTCTCCCACCCTGGACATTACACAGATATATAAACCTCAATTACTTATCTAAGCCTTTAAGGTTGATAATTTTTCGTTCTTTTGGGACAGTGGTTCTCAACCCGTGGTTCCCCAGGTGTTTTGGCCTACAACTGCCAGAAATCCCAGCCAGTTTAATAGCTGTTAGGATTTCTGGGAGTTGAAGGCCAGAACATCTGGGTACCCACAGGTTGAGAACCACTGTTTTAAGGAAGAACTATTATAAATTTATATTGTTATTGTCCCACCCTGGTCATTCCACAGATATATAAACCCTTTTTCCTAGTTCCAACAGACCTCACTACCTCTGAGGATGCTTGCCATAGATGCAGGCAAAACGTCAGGAGAGAATGCCTCTAGAACATGACCATATAGCCCGAAAAAACCTACAACAACCCAGTATATTGTGATTGTTTTCATTTATTGTTTTTGAGTCTTTTATTTGTGTTATTGACTTTGACTGTGTGGCTCTTTTATTGAAAGCTACCCCAAGTCCCCTCAGGGAGATAGGGCAAGTTGCTATTATTATTATTATTATTATTATTATTATTATTATTATTATTATTATTCCATAGCTGAGGGGCCACCACTGAGCAGGCCCTGTCCCTCGTCCCCACCAGTTGCACCTGTGCAGGATATGGTACCGAGAGCAGGGCCTTCTCAGAAGATCTTAATGTCTGAGCTGGCTCTGTATCTCATGATACTACTAGAGCACAGCCTTCCAAGTCGCCCAGTCTTCTCTGTGCCCAGGAGGGAGTCTCTCATCCAATCTCAACCATTGATTAAGGTTCCAGGTTTTAACCTGCCACTTTTGGACTTTCGCTTGCTGAGGTGTTCCTGCAAGTATCTCTGAGGGAGCACCTCAGCAAGGCATTGGCATGCTGGCTGATATCTGAATAGAGGATGGGCTGAAGATGTCCATTCATTACCTATCAGTTTCCAGGCCTAATTCAAGGTGCTGGTTCTCACCTATACAGCTTCAGTCCAGCCTGCCTTGAACACTGTGTCCCCCTTTACACTTGAGGTTCAGCAAGGAGCCCGATTGCCACTCAGTTCCATTTGAAAATGCAAAACGATAGAAGGCTCCTTCTCTGGGACAGCTCCAGCACTGTAGAACTCCCTCCCAGAAGACCTAAGATCAACCCCATCCCTCCTAAGTTTCAGGAAGGGCATAAAGACCTTTCTTTTCAAGAAGGCCTTTATCTAAGACATGTGCCATTGGAATGTGTTGAGTTTAAAAGGTTTTTTGTTTTAAAATTAAGCATGACTCGTGGGAACGGGGGGGGGGGGCTTCTCGGTGATTTCTCCTCTCCTGTGGAATGCCCTCCCCAAGGAGATCAAAATGGCCCCCTCCTTACTCCTTAGAACATTTTAACGCTCCCAAGCATGTAATGGAGAGGAACAAATCCCAGAACACGGATTCACCAGAATAGAAAGGGAACTAATATGACACTATACCTCGACTGACTTTTCATTGTTATTTTTAATATAATTGCTTATTTTAATTTAGTGTGTAATGTTTAGTATTGTCCTGTGTTTAAATTTTTATGGTTTTTGTTTTATATAGGCATTGAATGTTTGTGTTGGAAACTACCCTGAGTCTCTACGGGGAGATACAGTTAGTAAAGGCTTAGGGATATTTGCTGAAGCATAACTTGAAGCCCTCAGTAAAGCATATGGAAATATCAGTGCTTAATGTCATTTACAGCTCCCTGTATAATAGCTGTAGAAAATGTAAAACCACTATTTATGTTGTGATACCAAACACTTAATTGTAAAACTAATTTATGGGTGGATTCCAGGATTCTTCTGATGTCGCAGAAGATCAGATGACTTCAGAAGAGTTAGCAGCGCACAAGAGAGAGGCACGCCTTCGGAAATTCCGAGAGCTTCATTTAAAAAGGGTAAGGTCTCTCATTACAGTAGTACTGTTTGCCATTCCAATCTCTTTCATGCCAGCTGGAATGTATATGTCGTGAACCAGATGCCTTAAAGGAGCCAGACACAAAGTAAAGCTCCAAACAAGGTTTATTAACACAACAAAAATAGCTTAGAAACACTTAACTCAGTGTTCCTAGCAATAACTAAAAGTCTGCAGCAAATTGCTGTGTAAAAACGTAATTTAGCTGTCAGGACCCAGAAGCCTTAATTAGAGCCAAACACAAGATAAGAGTACAAAACACAGCTTTATTGTACAAAAATAGTCCTTCAAAGCACTTAACTTCAGTGCAAAGAGTCCCAGGAGTAATTTGGCATCAAAAATAAAGCGATACCAGTAACAAAAATATAACCCGGATTATAGCGCTGCCTTATAATCAGAGTTAAGCAATTCGCTTGAAAATTGGTATAGCACAAAAACACAGTCACAGAAAGTGGAAAAACAAAGTCCCAAAACAAGGAGTTGTTCAAGCACAGAGTTATTAGAGTTCAAAGTCCAGAAAGCCAAAAGCGTTGGTCAAACCGTTCCGTAGTCAAGCCATTGGTAAACAAACACTGGAATGCAGGTATCACCGAGGAGCAGGAAAACAGGAACACACGAAGCTGCAGCCCAGGACCCAAATTCAAGAGTTGGCAGTACAAAGAGTTATGTCCAATAAAGATGCTTTGCCTTCTGCGAAGTATCAAGCCCACAGACCCCACTTTGATCTCAAAGTTCCTCATCAGAGCTTGATGAGCTCCCCACCCTTTCCTCATCGCTCTCAGCTGCCTCCATCCCCACAGCTGAGTGCCCATCCCTCCACCTCTGCCAGCGTCTGCTAAGGCTAAGATCCTGCCAAGAGGTCCCTGGCTGCGAATCCTCAGTGAACCCCTCAAATTCCTCACTAGAGGTGGGTTGATTACAAATGTCTCTTATTTGTTGCACACGGGCCCAATCTAATTCCTCCTCATCCATATCACTCCCAGACCCAGAACTCCTTTCAAACCCCAGGAAATCCTCTTTGTCTGTTGGTGCACTAAGTTTTTCCCGAATGCGCTTCCTTTGCAATTCCCCTTCAGACTCCGGGTCGCGAGCAGTCCTCTTTACACCTCTGCTCTCTTCTCCATCCCCCATTTCGCAATCCGAGAAGCCTTGAAACGTATCAGTATCACTTGGGGCCATAATGATTTCCCTAATGCGCTGTTGCTGTTGTTCTCCCTCCGACTCCTGAGCAGACCTTTCCTCCCTGCTACCAGGAGTAGCAACGCTACCAACATGCTGAACTACAACATTAGCGGATAATCCAGATTATACTGGAATATAATCCAGGATAACAAAAAGTTCTAGCAAACTGCTTCAAAAACACAGAGTTCAATAAACATAAGGAAACAAGGTGGAAGCAAGCAAAATCATCGTCAAAACCCAGTCCAAAGTCAAAGCACGTCCAGAAGCAGATGATAAAGTCCAGGAAGCGATGTCGTCGTCCAAAAACAATCCGAAGTCAAAACGGGAGTAGTAGTCAGCACTTACGAGATTCCAGTCTGTAGAAGCACAGAAACACAGCAATCTGCAGTCCCAGCACCCAAGCTCAAGAGTAATAGCAGCAACAAAGTCCCAAGCACAAATACAACACTTTGCCTACTGCAAAGTCCCCAAAGTTTGATACCTACTTTTATCCTATAACTCATTATCAGATGATGAACTGCTCTCCACCCTGTCTTCATCACTCTCAGCTGCCTTAGCTTCCACAGCTGATCGCCACCGCCCGTCCCTCCAACTTTTCCAGCGTCTATCAAGACTTAGATCACCCCATGTATTACCAGGTTGCCAATCTCCAGAAAACCCTTCAAACTCATCACTAGATGTTGGTTGTGTACGTATATCCCTGATCTCTTGCACACGGGTCCAATCCAGCCCATCCTCCTCTTCGTTATCACTCCCAGACCCATCACTTCCCGTGAACCCCATAAAATCTTCCTCTTCAGTTGGAGCATTAAGTATTTCACGGATACATTTCCTTTCCCATTCTTCATCTGACTCTTGCTCCCAAGTAACCCGCTTCAAGCCTCTGCCCCCGTCTCCCTCCTACTCCATTTCAGAATCTGAGAAACCTTCAAACGAATCAGTATCTGTAGGTGTCATGAATATCTCCCTAATTTGCTTCCTTTGCTGCTCCTGCTCTAACACCTGAGCAGCCCTCTTTCCCCTCCTACTACCAGTTGTAACTTGACCAGCACACTTGACTGCAACAGTATATGTAGCAGAAACCAGCTTGCAGGCTTTTTATTGGGGTCTTTTCTTGAAAGAGTGAAAGGGCAAAAAAAAACATGTACCCCTAACATCTTAAAAGTAAAGATTACCTTATTAGGTTCATACCATGTCAGTATTTAATAGAATATTACTGAGATTACTAAGGAGTTTCACGTTGTGTATTTCCTGTCCCACTCTATGGTTTTTTTTTTCTGAATCCTTGTTTTGTATTATGTTGAATAACCAACTAAGGTGGAAATTTTAAAACTAGAAGGTCACAATTGTGAACATGTTTTCTGGTCTCTCTTTTCCTCCCCATCTGCTTGATAGTCTAATAAGTGAACGATAAGTTATTTTTCTTGAACTTTAGCCTCGTTCATCTGCTTGTTCCCTCAAAATTGATAAATTGTCATCATGGTGTTGCTGTTGTTTTACAGAACGAAGCTCGCAAATTGAATCACCAAGAAGTTGTGGAAGAGGATAAAAGGTTGAAATTGCCAGCAAACTGGGAAGCAAAAAAAGCTCGTTTAGAATGGGAGCTAAAGGTAGAAGAAAAGAAAAAGGTAAGTAAGCACTTTATACAGCTGGACTAGTCAGATTAATGTATCATCAGCTCTTTCCCCAAGGGTTTGGCCCATAAAAGCCTCATGGCCATTGTGGCCCTAGGTTTTTATTGTGGTTTTATATTGTCTTAATGCTTAATCTGTATTTTGTTGTATGTATACTGACTTGTTGAAAACCGCATTGAGTCGCCGATAGGCTGAGAAAGGCGGTATACAAGTGTAGTAAATAAATAAATAAAATAGTTTTCATGCATTTCAGCTGGTCAAGATCAGAAGCGAAGAGTATAGGGTGTTCTACAAAATTATACAGTTGCCAGAACAGCCAAAGAATAGTCGGGACATGAGGCAGATCTGTATAAGGCAGCCTCAAGTCTTGCAATAAGAACACCTCTTGTGAGATCTCCTGATAATTTCATGGCTTGTGAAACTCCACAAACACATTTGAAATCTCATGATGGTGTGCGACCTTCTTTGCATAAAAAGTCCAGGTTGCTGTTTTGCCAATCTCTGCATCCAGAGAACAGATAGAGCAGCATCACAGCAGCAATGTCCTCTATATTGACTGGTCTCTGGCCTTGCTGCTGCAGTTGTTCTTAAAACTTCAAGGGTAGAGTCCCACTTTAGGATCATACTCAGAGCCTCCAGATATACATACTCACACACTCTCTCTCTCTCTCTCTCTCTCTCTCTATATATATATATATATATATATATATATCTCTGTATATACATGGGTTATCCAGAAAGTAAGGTTATAAGACATGTAGCTCTTGTGGGGAATTTTCTCAGGGGAAGTTGGCATCACTGCCATGTAGTAGGAAGCCAGCGGAAGCGAACAAGCAGTGCCAGTCGTCGGTAGTTCATCAACTAGCGTTGTGGTGAAGGTTAGAGATGAGCATTCTCATTCCCTTTCCCTCCAAGTGCAAAGTTTGCGCTGTAATACACTACCTAAATGCTAAGGGCATGTGATTCATCGCTAAATTGTTTCAGTTTGTGGTGAGGACATAATGTCAAGACAGCATGTGACAAAATGGGTACGAAATATATCGTGAGACCATGAAGAAACTTCGCATAGCCATCCAAAATAAATGCGGGGGGGATGCTGATGGCGGGAGTCTGTCTCTTGTGACAGCGCACATCCACACACCGCTCATTCAACACAAGAGTTGTTGACTTCCTTTTGTTGGGATGTTTGAAGCCACCCCTCTCACAGCCCCCATCTTGCACCCAGTGACTATCACCTGTTCACTAAATTAAGGAACACCTGGGTGGTAAACACTTTTCTGACGACAAGATGGAAATCGAAGTGATGAACTTACTGAAAAAGGTGGAGGGAAACTTGACACAGGTATACTATGGATGACAATGTATTGAACTGAATGGTGATAATCTGGGAAAATAATGAAATTCCTATGTTATAATCCATGTAAGTTTGATTAAAATATAGTCATTCTTTGTATTTTTTTAAATGTGACTTTACTTTCTGGATAACTGTCGTATATTTATATCTATCTATCTATCTATCTATATAAAGAGAGAGGGGGGAAGATTTCTGGAAACCCCAGTAGTCAGCTATGACAGGCAAGGCATATTATATCAGTGTGATAGATGTTGGACTAATAGGGGACTTGACTAAAGCTAAGCAAATATAAGATAGTTGTGTTGGAGGAAGAATTTGATTTTGATTTCTGGCAAATTTTAAATTGACAAAAACAAAATGAAAGTATGCTTTCGAAAGTGATATTTACAGCCCACTATGTACAGTCCCTTTGAGAAATATTAACAAACCCGTGTGGTTTTTTCCATGTACTCTTGTATACTTTCTCAATTCTGAGTTTCTAGGATTTCATGCCAATCATAAGTATAATTTGATGTTACCTTGCTTACCAAAGGTTGTCGACTGATAGCATTTTTGATGCTTAAGTCAAGGACTTCAAAGCTCTTTTTTTTAAAAAAAAAGAAATATTTTATTAGATAGTCAAAAATGTAACTTAAATCCAACAAATAAAAACAAAACAAAAAGATACTGTTTGTTAATATCCTCTAAAGAGAAAATGAAGGAGGTCTAAGTTACCCACTCCAAATACAAAAAGGAAGTCTACACCCGCTCAGTGCATGGGATTTCTGGCTTCAGCTGTGGTTTAATAGGCAGCACACTTAGCCTTAGGAAAGTTCAGGATGACCAACTTTGAGAAACTATTTTTGAAGTGTTAAAATCTGGTTGATATCTACAAGGATTGCGTGGCAAAAGGAGAAGATTACGAGAGAGTGAAGCTGTTAGAAATCAGCGCAGAGGATGCAGAGCGATTTGAGAGGAAGAAAAAGAAGAAAAATCCCGATCTTGGGTTTTCAGGTTTGTCCACATTTTTTCCAGCTTTTATTTATTTTCCAGCTTTTATTTATTTCTGCCTATCTTTGTGACCGCATCCCCTCTATGTACCTGTGCGGACTCTAAGATCTGCTGAGGAGGCCCTCCTCGCACTCCTGCCACCGTCACAAGCGCAGTTGGTGGGGACGAGGGAGAGAGAGCCTTCTTGGTGATGGCCCCCTGGCTTTCGAACACCCTCCCCAGGGAAATCAGTCAGGCCCCCACACTGTCCTCCTTCCATAAGGATTTGAAGACTTGGATGTTTAAACAAGCCTTTGAGAATGTCTAGTCCCAGCGGTCCTCAATTAATGACACAGCACTGCACTTCATCCCATGTCCTTGTTCCTTAGCTACAGGGTGAGGCAGCATAACTTCCTTTTTTCAAAACTTAATCAAACCCATTGTATGAATCAGAAATGTTTTTTTTTATAATGTAGGTGCATACCTAAAGTTTTGTTTTATGTAGTTTTGAAGATCAAATTAGGTAGGTGACGTCCTCCATTCTCCATACACTGAGTAAACCGATTTCTGATGTTTGTCATGACTCTTGCCAGCATAGCAGGCATATGTTGGCAATTTCTTCCTGGATGTTGGTCTTCAAATCTTATAGGGTCCTTGGACGGTTCACATAAACACAGGATTTCAAAAAATCCCATAGAAAAAAATCACAAGGGGCCAAATCTGGAGAGCGGGCCAGCCACTCCAAATCCACTCAAAAAGTAGGCCTCAACAGCAAAAGCACGCTCCTCACTGTTCCAACGCATGATGGCGACTGAACTGCATCAGGACAAAACTTTATACTCCCGCCTCTCGAATGAGACCACTAGCACTCTGCTATGTCTTCAACCAACTGAATGGCACGCATTTTAAAAAAGGAAGTTATGCTGCCTCACCCTGTACAATCTCATTCCCTTGTCTTATTGTTTACATTCTAGCCATGTTTTCGGTAGCTTGTCGCCACAGGTCATTGGCCATTGTTTTGAGTTTTAAATTGTTGTTCGTATATGCTATATGTTATGTTCTATTGTATTGTGTGCTTATTTTATGCTCTTGTTTTAGGCACTTTGTGCCATGTGTAAGCCACTCCAAGTCCCTTCAGGGAGATGAAGGCAGGATATAAGAATAAAGTTGGTATTAGTAGTAGTAGTAATACTAGTAGTATAAAACTGATAAAATAGAGGGAACACAAGTGGCTAAATAATTTTAGACCAAAAACTGGCAACAGCAACCACATTGTCTGTAGCTTTAGGCAATTCTTCCACTGTGCATAAGGCAGGGCATAGTGGACAAGCATACAGATGTGGAGTTGTCTGTTCTGTTCCACAGTCACACAAGGTGGAGGATTCTTCCAGTTAAGTCCATTTTGCCAGGTTGTCTTCTGATCTTCCCACTCCACTTCTGAGTTTGTTCAGGAACTTCCATGTTTGCACCTGGGGGCAGACCCTTGGGGGGGGGGGGGCATCCAGTTGTAATTGCCTGATTTTGCTGCCCAGAGGCATACTCTTGTTGTTGCTGGGGGAACATTAAGAGGAGTGGTGGTTCTCATGAAACCTTTCCTTGATTTGAGTCTACTGGGAGGAGGCTGATAGCCATGCAGTGGGTGGCTTTCAAGGTGTGTGACCTTATTTCTCTCACAGTTAGCAGCAACTTCCCGTCACACATCGGGAGGGGAGGGCAATGCCAGCTAGCTTATAGAGTCTACCAACAGCTGTAGGTTTGAGACATCCTGTGATTATGTGATTATTCTGCATGGTTCATTCAATGCTATATTCACCTGCTTCACATGGGCAGACTTGTGTCAAACAGGCAGGCATACTCGGCAGTTGAGTAAGGCAAGGCCAGGGCTGATGTTTTTATTAATTTTGTGTCTGCACCCCATGCGCTACCAATAAGTTTTCACAGGATGTTATTGCGTGCAGCTACTTTTTCCAACTATTAAGCATGAATAAAATGCTAGAATTCATTATCAGGCCATGTTAATGTTTTCATGTTCAACGGTTTTCTTAGATTATGCAGCTGCTCAGTTGCGCCAGTATCAGAGGTTGACCAAGCAGATCAAACCTGACCTGGAGAAGTATGAAAAGCTGAGAGAAGAAAGGTGAGTGTGACAGATCCCATTTCCTGAGCTGATTGCAAAACTCCAACCCGTAGGAATCCTGTCCCTCCCTCTGCCCTTGTCCCCTTGCTGGATTGGTAATCCTTTCTATTTCAGCTCCAATCCCTGTATCTTATCAGCTCAAAGCCCTGTCTGTTTCACCTTCAAGCCCTTTCTGAACCACACAGAGGCAAGTCTCTGTCTTTTCTATTCTTCCACTGCATCCCTGAGCCATGATTGGTTCCCTTCGTCTGCCTATCAAAATTATAATGTCACCTTTCTTTCTGAAGAGTGTCTTTTGATAGCATTGATGAAGCTTGAGCCATGGACGTCAAAACTCACATTTTTGTTAGACTTCTCTGGGAAGAGAACAAAAAAGGTCTAGATTACCATCTGCAGACATTAGAAGGAAATCTCCACCAGCTGACTGCATAGGATTACTGGCTTCAGTTATATTTTAATTAAGTAAAGTTAGAGGTTTTCCCTTGATATTAAGTCCAGTTGTGTCCGACTCTGGGGGTTGGTGCTCATCAACTTGCTGACCGAAAGGTTGGCGGTTCGAATCCAGAGAGTGGGATGAGTTCCCAATATTAGCCCAGCTCCTGCCAACCTAACAGTTTGAAAACATGCAAATGTGAATAGATCAATCGTTACCGCTTCTGCAGGAACGTAATGGCACCCCATGCAGTCACGCAGGCTACATGACCTTGGAGGTGTCTGCGGACTACGCCAGCTCTTCGGCTTAGAAATGGAGAGTCAGAAATGACTAGACTTAATGTCAAGGGGAAACCTTTACTTTGCTCTTTACTTAGGCCCCATCTACAAAAGCACTTTTTAAAAGCCCTTAATGTGCATCAGTTCTCTGTGGTTTGTGTCATCACCATCCAGGCTTTCCTGTATAATCTGCACAGCAAAACCACTTTCTTCAATACTGGTTTGAAACTGCATTAAATGGTCAATGTAGATGGGTCTAAACAAAACATCTTGACCTGTATTCAGTAAGAAGAGTGGTGTTGAACATGATACATAAACTAATTTATTTTAATAGAGTTGCCACACTAACCATATTCACTATTTTTCCCCACTTCATTCAGTGGTGAAGAATTTTACCCAACTTCAAACAGTCTTCTTCATGGAACTCATGTGCCCTCCAAAGAAGGGGTGGACAAGATGGTTTCGGATCTTGAGAAACAGTAAGTAACAAATGTTTATAGTATGATTAGGTTCATATTTACTTCGACCAATGTTTTTGCAATCAGTGTACTAGAACATCAAATTATCTTCCATGAAAGTTCTGTTGTTTTTTTAGTGTTTCTGAAAGCCTGATGAAGGCATTTCTTGATAAGGCTTTTCCATCGTAGTGTTTTATTTTTAGTGTTAGATACTTTGGGGCAATTCTTTAGAGAGATAGGAAATAAATATAGTAACAGCAATAACATGTTAGGACATTCAAGTTGATATTGACTCTTTTTTTTTTGTTGTTAATTGCCTTCGGGTCATTTCAACTCATGGCAAACCTATGAAAGAGGGACCAAAAGTGTTGTTTTTGTATGTGAAAGTCGAAAGGAAGAAAGTAAAAACATGGTTATGTGACCAAGCTCTTACAGCAAAGCTCGTAGTGCAATAAGATAATAAGGAATAGTGAACAGACCAATGGAACAACTACTGATTTGATTTTGGATGGTGTGATTATAATAATTGTTTTTAAATCGTGTTGCTCATCAAGTGGATTTTAATATAATTATTATATTATTGCTGTTTCATTTTTATGCTTTATGTCTAAATGTTATTTTATGTTTATGTTTTAATTTGGTTAAGTTAATTTATAGTTATATGTTATTGCCTTGTATTATCTTTTGGTTTTCACATGTATGTATGGCATTGAGTTTTGCCTTTATAATGTTGGAAACTGCTTTGAGTTCCCTCAGAGGGAGAAAAGCAATATATAAATGTAGTGAGAGTGTGTATGTGTGTGTATATATATAAGTATTCTAGGACAGATGTTTCTATGGAATATAATCCTGATGACAGAGGTAGGTTGGGTTGGGAGAGAAAGGCAGAGAGAATCTGCTATGGCTGGAGTTTGTGAAATTCATTACTTTGTTTTGCCCCTTTGCTGGACAGGGGTAGTATTTAGTTATTTATTTATTTACCCTATTTATACTATGCATTTCTCAACCCCGTAGGGACTCGAGGTGGCCTACATATATAAGCAACAATTCAATGCCATGTAAACATACATGCATAATAAAATAAACATGTATATTAAAACAATCATTAAAAACATATCAAACCTTAAAACACTTACTAAATCACGTTATCCAAAATCATAATCCATGGCCATTCCAAATTGTTCTTGCACTATTCCATAATTCTCTAGTGAGTTACTAACTGAATGCTTGATCCCACATCCACATTTTTAGCCATTTCTTGAAGGTCAGGAGGGAGGGTGCTGTTCTGCATTCATTAGGGAGGGAGTTTGATAACGGAGAGGCCACCACTGAGAAGGCCCTGTCTCTCATCCCCACCAATCGTGCCTGCGAAGATCAAACTGAGCTTGGGCTTATGTTCACTATGAATAATAAAGGATGGGGACATATGTTTTTATGTGACATGTCAATGAATCCATTTCTATTCTAGAATCCAAAAACGTGAAAAGTACAGCCGAAGACGTTCTTACAATGACGATGCAGATATTGACTACATCAATGAACGGAATGCGAAGTTCAATAAGAAGGCTGAGCGGTTCTATGGGAAATATACTGCAGAAATCAAACAGAACTTGGAAAGAGGAACTGCTGTCTAGGAGATTCAGGCTATAGCTCAGAAACATGGTCATCTAGTCTTTCCAAAAGATTCTGTGTGTAAAACCTGTTTTACAAAGGGAGACTGACTTCTAAAACAATGCAAAGATGAGGCTTGACTAAGAGTCTTATTTCTTTAATAAAATCACATTAGAATTCTTTGTCCTGTACATAAAATATTAGTGGAACATTAGAAAGGTAAATGTTTGGATTTCTAGTTCACAAGACACCTGTGAACATGTCCATTTTTTCCTTATTAATCATAAATGAAGATAAGTTCAATAGGTGTATTAATTTGGTTATTAAGCTCAATTTTAATGTTACTTTAATGCATCAAAATTTCTGTGTAACTGCAATTTGTACAGTAAGATGATGGATTTTTACTAGTTTTGAGTGTAAAGTTTACTAATATAATTGCATTACTTATCCAGTAGTGTAAACTTCTAAAAGATGGCTGGCATTTTGTAGTTTTCTAATAAGCAGAGAATCGATTTTTAATGAAGAGCTCTAGGAAAACCTAATGAGGCCTAATTCTGCCAAATGGACTAGTTAGGTAAAGCAGTATGTTTAAAGCAGAGCTGCGGTAAAACAGCCCCAAGGCTATTATGCTCTAAGGCAGTAGTTCCCAAGCTTTTTGCTTAACAGCCTTTTTTTGAATCAATTTCTATGGCCTACCACCTGTCTTACAAGTTAATGCTGTTTAGTAGTGGTATGGGCAGAGAAAGAGGGGATAGATAGTAAGGGCATGTAAATATAAATATATATATATAAACAATTGTGTAATGTCCATGCAGTGAATTTGTTTTTTTAAGAACTTTGACATTTATCATATCTCAATTTCTTCTCAACTGCCACCAGTATCCATGATACAAAACTTGGCCATACATAAAACTTCTTCCAAAGTTCAATAAATCCAACCAGCTTTCTGTTCAGAATGTAATTTCTAGTTTTCTTATTTTAATTCTACTTTTATTCTTTAATTTTATTAACTTTTTATTAATTTTCCTGGAGTGGCAGCAGAGCCCCTTGGAAGGGCATTCAGAGCCCTTAGAGCTCTGCATAGCACAGGTTTGGAACCTGTATCCCCCAAGGTGCCTCCGAAAAATCCTGCAAATCTTTGGGGAAGAAGACGGGCGGACAATCCCTTCCCCTTGAAATGTGACCTTGAGAAAGGTTCTGTTTGGACTCTCACTCCCAGAATCCCTTTGACTTTGAGACAGAACAAAGAGCTCGAGCTTCTAAACCAGGCATGGGCCAACTTGGACCCTCCAGGTCTTTTGGATTCCTCCCACAATTCCTAACAGCCTACTAGCTGTTAGGAATTTTAGGAGTTGAAGTCCAAAACACATAGAGAACCAAAGTTGACCCATGCCTGTTCTAAACCAACAAGATTGAGGCAGGATTTTATTTGTTTTCTCAGGGACCTTCCACATAGCCATATAACCCACAACATCCACAGTATCTGCTTTGGACTGGGTTATCTGAGTCCACACTGCCATATAATGTGGATTTATGTAGCTATGTGGAAGGGGCCTGGGTCTACATCTGGATTTTGTATGACTTTTAACTTACTTACTTAGGTGATCCCTCGTCAGAGTAAGATGGTCCTCCAAGTGCGGTATCCTGGCAGTGGATACGTAGGTGACTATGGAGCCCTATTCTTGACTCGCATGTTCTCCTGCATTGAGAGCATTGGTTTCCAGGTAGAAGGTGGACCTTGTCAGGGTTGGTTTGATACACCTTCCTCTTGGCACATTTCTCCCTTTCACCCTCCATTTGTGCTCTTCAAATTCCCCAGCACTGCTGGTCACAGCTGACCCCCAGCTAGAGCGCCCAAGGGCCCGGGCCTCCCAGTTCTCAATATCTATGCCACAGTTTTTAAGGTTGGCTTTAAGCCCATCTTTAAATTTCTTTTCCTGTCCTCCAACATTCCATTTTCTGTTCTTGAGTTGGGAGTAGAGTAACTGTTTTGGGAGACGGTGGTCGGGCATTTGGACAATGTGGCCAGTCCAGTGGAGTTGATGGCAAAGGAGCATTGCTTCAGTGCTGGTGGTCTTTGCTTCTTCCAGCACACTGTCATTTGTCCGCTTGTCTTCCCAAGAGATTTCCAGGATTTTTCAGAGGCAACATTGATGGATTCGTTCCAGAAGTTGCGTGTGACGTCTGTAGACCACTTTTCACAGACATATAACAGGGTTGGGAGGACAATGGCTTTGTAAACAAGCACCTTGATATCCCTACGAATGTCCCGATCCTCATACACTCTCTGCTTCATTTGGGAAAATGCTGCACTCGCAGAGCTCAGGCGGTGTTGTATTTCAGTGACAGTATTGACTTTTGTGGAGAGGTATTTTATTTTGTATCAAAAGATGCAGCGTTGTCTGTTCTGCTCCACAGTCACATTGTAATATTTTCTAATGTTACACCATTAAGCTGTATTTCTGGTGTTGCAGAGGGATTCGCTGGTGACTGCTGGAAAAGCACTTCAGTTTTCTTGATATTCAATGAGAGGCCAAGTGTGATGGCACGCTGCGAGTAAAAGGAAAACTATATGTCTAGCTATTCCCAGTGGCTATCAGTATACCCTCTGATGTACTTCAGTTCTTTAAAATAAAGACTCTTGAGACAGGATTAAAGTTAACCAAATAAGTTTACTGGAACAAAAGGCAAACTTAACTTCAGTCAGAGTTCTTGGAAAGTGAATCAAAATAAAATATTACAAAGACGGAAGTTTGTTGATTGAATTTAGTTTTTTGTTGTTCATTCGTTCAGTCGTCTCAGACTCTTCGTGACCTCATGGACCAGCCTACGCCAGAGCTCCCTGTTGGCCGTTACCACCCCCAGCTCCCTCAAGGTCAGTCCAGTCACTTCAAGGATGCCATCCATCCATCTTGCCCTTGGTCGGCCCCTCTTCCTTTTGCCTTCCGCTTTCCCCAGCATAATCGTCTTCTCTAGGCTTACACTTGACTATATTTGTGGTAAGTCACTTAGTAAAATAAGCAGCTATTAAAGTAAAACACTGGACTAAAATGGTGGAAGTACAGAACTATAATAACTGAATGGTAAAAGTACAAGCTATATTGGCTATGTGGTAGATACCAAGCTATGATGGTAAAGCACTCTGGGCTATAGTGAGGTTCTTGGCTATTGATATAATACAGAACTAAAATGGTAAATACAGAACTATAATGGTAAATACAAGCTATAGTGACTATGAGGTATATACGTGATATAGAATGCCTGTTTAGATTGCCAGGCCAAGAAACCCAGACAATTTCTTGCCTTTTCCTCCAAAACTCTGGCACAGACTAAAAAGGAGGGGAAAGCCTTTCAGACAAGTTTTGAGGCAAAAGGCTAAACCACTGAGCCAGGCCTGTAGGGGGTTTTAAGCTCCACCCCTAATACTAAGCACAAATGGAAAAGTCCATACCAAAGGGAGAGCAAAACAAGGAAATGAAACAGAGGAGAGAAAAGCTAGGCCAAGACATCACACCAAGCTTCTCATTTGCTTCTGCAAAGATGTTTAGAGTGGCTTGTAGGTTTTCTTCTGAATGTGCACAGAATACATTATCATCAGCATACTGGTGCTCTTACTGCCTATTACAGGGAAAACCAGCTGATCCGTAATCCATCTAAAACACAGACATGTGCTTTTCACCTTAAGAACAGACAAGCATCCTGAGCTCTGAGGATTACCTGGGAAAGAACCCAAATATCTGAGAGTCACTCTGGACCGTTCTCTGACCTACAAGAAGTACTGCCTGAATATCAAGCAAAAAGGTGCTAGAAACAATACACGAAAGCTGACTGGCACAACCTGGGGATCACAACCAGACACAGTGAAGACATCTGCCCTTGCGCTATGCTACTCTACTGCTGAGTATGCATGCCCAGTGTGGAACACATCTCACCACACTAAAACAGTGGATGTGGCTCTTAATGAGACATGCCACATTATCACGGGGCGTCTGCGCCCTACACCACTGGAGAAATTACACTGTTTAGCTGGTATTGCACCAACTGACATCCGCCGGAAAGTAGCAGCCAATAGTGAAAGGACCAAGGCAGTGACATCTCCAGCTCATCCCTTGTTTGGGTATCAGCCAGCACGTCAACGACTTAAATTAAGAAATAGGTTTCTAAGATCTACAGAGACACTCGCTGGAACACCTCAGCAAGCAAGAGTCCAAAAGTGGCAGGCTCAAACCCAGAACTTCAATCAATGGCTGATACCAAATGAGAGACTCCCCCCTGGGCACACAGAAAACTGGCCGACTTGGAAGGCGCTGAACAGACAGTGCTCTGGAACCACGAGATGCAGAGCCAACCTTAAGAAATGGGGCTACAAAGTGGAATCCACAACATACGAGTGTGGAGAGCAAACCACTGACCACCTACTGCAATGCAACCTGAGCCCTGCCACATGCACAATGGGGTGCCTCCTTGCAGCAACACCAGAGACTCCAAGTGGCCAGATACTGGTCAAAGGACATTTAATCAACTACCAAACTTGCAAACTCGTGTGTTTTGTCTGTTTGTTTGTTTTGTTAAAAATGTAATACAAATGTCTGGTTGCTCCTGACACGATAAATATATAAAATAAAGCATACTGGAGTTCTGTAACAGATGATGATGTGACCTTGGTTTGGGCTTTCAGTCTGAAAGACTGAAATGGGGCCTCAGGCCCCTTCCACAGAGTTGTATAAAATCTCACATTATCTGCTTTGATGATATGGCAGTGTGGACTCAGATAATCCAGTTCAAAGCAGATATTGTGGATGATCTGCCTTGATATTCTGGGTTATATGTCTGTGTGGAAAGAGCCTGAGTTCACACTGCCATAGAACCCAGTTCTATGTGGGTTTGAGACAGCTGTGTGGAAAAAGCCTCAGAATTGACGCATGCGCAATTCCGTTCCGTCCGCCAGCCGACTAGGCTGCGCATGCGTCATCAGAGAACTCCCTATCAAAACCGTCTCTCGGTCTCCAGAGCAGCTGTTCTAAAACCTAACTTCGCGCAGGACCGCGCTCAGCGAGTCTGCGCCTGCGCACTAGGGCGGCCTCTTCAACATACGGGTCCTTCGGGCGACGTCTCCTTTTGTTTATTTAGGGGGCGAGAGCAGAGTGAGCGGAAGGCGCTTTTCGTTCCGGGCTTTTCGTTCCCAAAAGGAAACTCCAAAGGGGGGTAAGTGGGAAAGGCCCCCCCCGGGGAAATGTTGCCCCAGAAAAGGGTTCCGGAGAGCGGTTTGCTGTTTAAAGGGGGCAAGTCGAGTTCTGAAAAGTGGAGCCTTTTGCTTCTCTTGTGCGTCTAGTCCAGGCATGGGCAAACTTGGGCCCTGCAGGTGTTTTGGACTTCAACTCCCAGGCCCCTTCCTTTTCCACCTCAGTCGCTTAAGCAGGGCCCAAGTTTGCCCATGCTTGGACTAGGCCCCTTCCACACAGCTATAACCAATCCACATTGACCTGGGTTCTATGGCAGTGTGGACTCAGATAACCCAGTTCAAAGTAGACATTGTGCATGTCTGCCTTGATATTCTGGGTTGTGTGTCTGTGTGGAAGGCCCCTAAGAGAGAGCAAGGAGTGGAGAGAGCATAGGCTGTCTTCTGTACTGCCCTATAATGCAAATTATCAAAGCAGACAACCCATATGATCTGCTTCGAACTGGATTATATGAGTCTAAACTGCCAGATATAAAGGTAAAGGTTGTCCCCTGACATTAAGTCCAGTCATGTCTGACTCTGGGGGGTGGTGCTCATCTCCATTTCTAAGCCGAAGAGCCAGCGTTGTCCATAGACACCTCCAAGGTCATGTGGCCAGCATGACCGCATGGAGCGCCGTTACCTTCCCGCTGGAGCGGTACCTATTGATCTACTCACATTTGCATGTTTTCGAACTTCTAGGTTGGCAGAAGCTAGGGCTGACAGCGGAAGCTCACG